CCCCCCCCCCCCCCTCGGCTTCCCGCCGGCCGCATGACACACCCGGCCAAGGCGCCCGCCCCCCGGCTGGCACCCTACTAACACGCAATGTCCCCAGGCCCTTGGACGCTTTGTGGGGCTTGCCCACTCGGCGGCCGGCCTGGAGCTCCGGTACTCCATTCACCATGCGGCGGCCAGCTCGCCGGTCGGGCTGGGCCACCTGTCGGACCTGCGCTCGCTCTTCCTGTCGCGCTTCGCGGCCCAGGGCCTGGAGCACCTGCTGCAAGGGGGGGCTCCACCGGCCAGGCCCCCGGCCGGGGCGCTGGCCGGGCATCCGCTGGCGCATGCCCTGCCCGGGCCGGAGACCGGCGCCTGGGCCGAGCTTTCCTCGCTGCTGTCGCAAATCCGCTTCTCCCAGTGGTCTGCGCAGTACCTGTTCGAGGTCCGCCCCGAGGGGCGCCTCTCCAGCGAGTGGCGGAACCACTTCCTGCGTGATGTACGCCGTCGGTGCCCCTCCTGTCGCCACACGGGCTCAAGTGCGCCCGGGCGCCAAAATGGCCCCCCTTCTGGTGACTAACATAACAAACCGGCCCTCCTGCGCCGTGGCATCCACGCGCCCGGCCGCCCGGCCGCCCGCCCACACGCACGCACGCACGCACGCACGCACGCACGCAGGATCCGCTGACCGTGGTTCGGTGGGGCACCGACGTCGACCCCCTGAGCCGGGCGGCCCTCGCCCTGGAGTGGGCCTCGGTCCACAATGACCCGGTCCTCTTCCCGGAGCCCGGGTCGGAAAAGCTGGACCCCAGTGACGCCGGCTCCTGGAGCCTGAGCCTGGACTTCCGCCCGGAGGCCACCTTTCGCATTGGCCACACGCTGGCCTCGCTGCTGGCACACTGCCATCACATGGCCCAGCTGCCACCGCCCCCCCAGCACCTGCCCTACCAACACCCGTCACACCCGCACCCGCACCAGCAGCACCCGCACCCGCACCCGCACCCGCACCAGCCCCCGAGCCATCCGCCCACGCCGCAGCACCGGGTGCTGCAGAGCGCCATGGCCGCCGAGGCCACGCGCCTCCTCCAGGTGCATCTCCCATCGGCCATGCGCCCGCGCGACCAGGCATCCGGCGCCGGGTCCCCGAGCGCGCCGCTTCTGCCGCCTGGGCACCCGCGCGCCGAGGGGCCTGCCGGTGGACTGACCGCGCCCACGGGCCTGGCCACGCCGGCCGGCCCCCCGGCCGCTGCTCTGGCTGCCACCACCGGCCCGGGCGCCGGCTCGGCGGCGACCACGGTGACGGCGGCCACGACAGCACCAACCGCACCGACGGTGCCGCCAGCCCCGGCCCGCGGAGAGGAGGCCAACGCCACCGGGCCGGCGGCCGGCTTGGATCCCCCGGAGCCGCAGGGGCTCCTCGGCGGCCGGCCACATGCCAAGCGCACCCCCCTCCGGCCGGGGGCGGCCTCCCTGCTGGGTGGCGGGGCGGCGGTCCTTTCGCAGGCCATCCAGGGCTTGCAGCGGAGCGCCGGCGCCAGCTCGGCCGAAGTGCCCGACAAGGGCTCCGCCTCGGGCGCCGGCCCGGCCGGCCACCGCGCCACCACCGACCTGGTGACCGACATGGTGAGCGCCCTCTTTGCCCCGGGGCCCGGCCCCAGCCCGGCCCCGGACCCGCCGCTCGTGGAGCTGGCCCAGGCTCGCGTACGCCCTGCCCGCTTCGGCCAAGCCCGATGATGCCCGTGGCCCTTGTGCGCCCCTTTCCCGCCTGACGCATGTGGCTGACACACCTCCTCGGCTCGCCGGCCCCCGCGCATAGCCCATCCCCTTCGACAGCTTCCTCTGGCAGCTGTCCGTCCAGGTGGGCCAGCTCCTGCAGTCCAATCCGGCCATCCGGTCCGAGGCGCTCCGCTGTTTCTGGGCCAAGTTCCACTTGGCCATCCTCAGTCACTGGAATGCCAAGTACGCCCTCATCCATGTGGCCGCACCTTCGCGCGCTCACGCGCACGCACACACACACACACACACACACACACATGCGAAACGAGGGCGCCGGTCCCATCAACCACACTGCTCGCACCATTCTGATGCCGGACATCCTCCCCCGCGCTCCCCCT